ATAATGTTAGCTATTCGTAGTGGTAGTATTCCATTGTATATATTGTCAGTTACAAGCCACTTACTAATGGACATTTAAATTATTTCAGGTCTTAATCTGAATTGTCTGTCTGCATGTTTTACCCTTACTTGTATCCTGTGTTAACCGGTATCTGGTGTGTAGTAGGTATTCAAATATTGTTTGTATGAATCAGATCATTTTAGGGGCCCATGAAATCTTTATGCAAAGTGTTTTTATCTGTGGAATGAATTTTTAAAGCAATAATAAATTGTAACTGGTATATCTCAATTGTTAAGTTTTAGAAGAGGTTAAAAAATTTTTTACTTTATTAGAATATTACGTCAGTAATATTAGTACAATCAAGATTACTGCTTTGGTGGAATCACATTCAATACTGGTATTGGGTATTCTGTTACAGTTATGATTGTAAATATTTTACTATTCAAAATTTCCTTACAGGGCTGCATTGTTTTAAATGTTATGTTTTATAGAACCCTGAATATCCCTGATAACTTTTTGCAGTCATGTCTTGGCAGTATTGTAGAGACGTTGTAAAGTACAATAAAGAGCATGGGCTTTACCTGTCAAGACGTCTTAATTCTCCCACTGGATAATAGGTTCTATAATGGTAATGATTGTGTTTTACCATTTTATCCCTAATATCTAGCCCATACCAGCCACCATAGGGTGCTCAGAAAATGGTTTAGGAATGAATGAATGAATACATGAAGCATATTTTTTCCCTACTAATCTACTCACCTCGAAAATCTTGATTTCAAGCATACTACCAATTGCCATCAGTTACTTTCTGGCTTGTTTACTCAGATTCCCGTACTCAACACTATCCTTCAGTGCCACAGAGACCTCCAGTTCATGGATGCTGCTGCTTTATTTTTCTAACTTTCTTCATGTCCTCATTTCCATGGCAGTGCTGAAATCATTCTTTTTCAAACACCCGTAACTCCTTTGTCCATCTCATTTCATCATAGTGTGTCACTTATCTAGCAAAACCCCAAACATCTGCCTACTCACTGCTTGCACTCAAGCAGCAGGCAGCTGCTAGAGAAAACCCACATCTGTGTGCCTTTTCTCACTAATTTTAGGATTGCAAATCTCAGATGGGCACTTAACGCTAGAGGCAATCCTAACCTACAGCATTTTTGTAGTGAAGTTGCTTTTCTAGTCTCTAAGGTGACTTTTCCACATCTTTTGCTTCTCAAACCTCCAGTGCCAACCCTCCTCACTGTCAACTTGCTTTCTACCCTAATGAAATATTAGATCCAGTCAAATGTAAATAGAAATAACACATCTCACTATCACAAGTGCTAGCTTCTTATGGTTCCAGATACTCTCCCTTCTGTCCTGTTAAAATGAAAGTATCCCTGTGGTAATCTAAGCTCAGCCCCTCTGCTTGTGTTCTGGATTCTGCCCTTCTTGCCTACTGCAAGTATTAACCCGTTCTTTGTATATTGCATTACTAGTGTCTCCTTCACTACTAGATTATCCTTATTGGCATATAAACATGCTTTGTTTCCCTCAATTTAAGACAAACATCAACAATTCCCTTGATCCCAAGCCTCCTTATATCTACAATCTCATTTCTCTGCTACCCTATACCAAAAACTCCTGGAATGAGCTGTTAATAATTGCTTATTTTACTTTCTCTTTCAGTCTCTTCTCATTCACTACAATTGAACATTCTTCTTTACCGGTACACAGAAACTGGTCTTAACAAGGTCCTTAATGGTATCTACCATGCTAAATCCAGTGTTCTCACTCCCTTCCTCTCCAACCTGCAGCATCATTAGATCCAGTTGACCATTCTTGGAAACACTTTCTTCTCATCTCCCTGATATGGCAGTCTCTTGGATTTCTCTTTTTTTCCCCCACTGGTTAGTCCATTTCCTTGGTCTTCTAGATGCTGGAGTATTCCTGGGTTGCCTCTTTTTTCTGTACCTTCTCTAGCTTGGTTTGTTCTAATTTTGTGGCTTTTGATACCAACTGTATGGTGATGAAGCCCAAATTTATATATCTAGTCCTGATTCCTCCCCTGACTTCTGGACTTAAGCAGGTGCCTTCCTGAAATCTTTACTTCGATGATCAAAGAAATTGCAAACTTATTATAACCAAAATTGCACTTCATTTCTGCCCTTAAACCTGCTCTTCCCAAAGTCTGCCCCATCTCAGTAAATGATATGATCATTTACCAGTTGCTCAGAGCGAAAACCTAAAGATGATCTTTGTACAGTTTACCTCATACTCCATATTCAGTTTGTCAGCATATCGTGTTGGCTTTATCTTTTAAGTATGTCCTGATTTCAGCAACTTCTCATCACTTCCAGTTGTCGTCTCAGTCAGCTCCTACTTGGACTATTGAATAGTGTCTACTATCTGGCCTCCCTGGTTTCACTTTGATTTTTGTCCTCTTTAAGTCCACAAAGTTTCAAGAGTGATCTTTTAACGGCAGCATCTATTTGCGTAACTCCTCTGCTTCACTCCTCCAATGACTTAGATTACGTTCTTGTTACTAAGGCTTGTATTTATTACACATACCTGTGGTATTCTCCCAGATAAGTACTTTTCCTTAGAGTCCTTTTTGCAAACTAGCATTTCACAGGTAGGGCTTAGAGGTGTTTTTTTGTTTTGTTTTGTCTTCACAATTTTGGACTACTTAATTTCTAAAGAATTGGTAACATTTAAAAATCAGAAGAGTTTACATTACATTAGGTTTTTGTTCTGAAAAATTAGGAGACCTTCCCACACTAGCCCTGCATTCATTCATGGCTGCAATAGGGTAAGTAGTGCTGACTTCTTTTAGATGAAGTATATGTTCTCCAGTTTGCCACAGTCCCCACCACTCCCCAAGGTATCTTGTAGGCAGCCCCTGCCCTACAGTAAGTCATCATTCATTCAGCAAATATTTTTTGAGCAGTATTCTGTGCCAAGCACTGTGCTAAGTCCGGGAGATAAAGCAGTGAATAAAACAAAGCTTTGATCTCATTGATTATGTGTTCTTGGGACAAATAGTGTGTAAGTAAACAAATACATATATAATGTCAGGTGGTGATAAGTTCTATGAAGAAAAGTAAAGCAGAGGAAGGAGATAGAAAGGGGGGGGAGGGTGCTATTTTAGAGGGAATGCACAGGGAAAACTTCTATATGAGGAATGGATACTGGAACAGAAGCTGGAGTATAGTAGGGATGAAGCTTTGTAGACTCTTTTGTAGACAGTCATTTTAGGGAGGGGGTCAGCAGGTACGAAGGTCCTGAGAAGAGAATGTTTTTGATGTGTTTGAAGGACACAAGAAGGCCTGTGTGACTGCCAGTGCAGTGAATGGAGAAGAACGGTAGGTGAGAAGTGAGGTTGGAGAGGGAGACAGGGCCAATGGTACAAGGCCTTAGAGGCCGTGGTGGGATCTGGGTTTTACTGTGAGGAAGGAAACTATTGAAAGGTTTTGAGTAGGAAGTCATGTGAAATGACTTATTTTAAAACAATCCCTTTGGCTTCTGATGGTGAGTAAATTATAGCAGGGACAAGTGTGGAAGGAGGGCGGACTTGTTTGGAGGTGGTTATAGAAGTGAGAGATGGGGCCGGCCCCATGGCTTAGCGGTTAAGTGCACGCGCTCCGCTGCTGGCGGCCCGGGTTCGGATCCCGGGCGCGCACCGACGCACCGCTTCTCCGGCCGTGCTGAGGCCACGTCCCACATACAGCAACTAGAAGGCTGTGCAACTATGACATACAACTATCTACTGGGGCTTTGGGGGGAAAAATAAATAAGTAAAAAATTAAAAAAAAAAAAAAAGAAGTGAGAGATGGTGGTGACTTGAACTAGAGACAGCTGTGAAAGGAGTGAGATGGGGTTAGATTAGAAACTGAAGATAGAGCCTACAGGGTTTTCTGATGGATTTGATAATGAGGTGTGGGAAAATGAGAGGACTTGATGTACAGGTTTTCAGCCTGAGTAACTGGATAGATGGAGGTGCCTTTTAGCAATGTGGTAAATGCTAGGAGAGTTCCTTTTTAGCCATGTAAATTTTTAGAATCTTGTTTGATGTCCAAGTAGAGATAGAGTATAAACTTCACCTAGAGGATAACCTTACAGCTCTGTAACACAGTCTGAGATTTTTAAAAGACCCTGTCCTATGAGTCAAATACCACTGAATTCTTTGAGAGCAGGGACACTGTTTGTAAGGTATAGTACCTGACATGAATTGCATGCTCACTGAAATTTTCGTTAAGAATCCAGAAATTTTTCTATAGTTCCAGCCACTGCTATAAATCCCTATTATTCCATTATATTAGGCTTCTATATACATTTTTATAAGAATTATAATATGGCAGAAATATTCCTTTAATAGAGCTTCTGACTTCTTAATTGAATCAGCCAGATGATATTAAATTCATAGTCTTCAAAGTGAGTCCAGCAAACCACTTAATTTGTTAATGTCTCAGCAGTGTTTTAAATGATTTTGGGGTTGGAAATCCCATGTAGGAATCATTTTTTTCTTTACAATGGGCTGAAGCAGGAATGTGATTTTGCTGTCACTTTGAGTAATTCTATTTGAGAAGGCTTAACCTTTGTAGCCTAATAGTGTGTAAACAGGCATTTAATTTTTAAAGAGTCTTACCATCAAACAGTAATAATTAGTATATATTTACTATTCGCCTGTTACTGTGAGAATACTTTGTAAGTGGGAATTATTACTTTGTGATATTATCGTAAGCATTAGCTTTATTTTTCAAATGAACATACTAAATGCAAGTATATTTAAATTGCCTAAGAACAAGCAATTGAAATTAAGGACAGAGACAGCATTAGACTATGGTGTTTTAAAGGGTACACCTATAAGGAAAGCTTGGATGTGTGATATCAATTTTTAGACAACCAGGATGACATTCCGTTACTGTTTTCTTATTAGCAAATATTGATTTTGTAAGAGAAATATAACTAAAGATTCTGCTACTATTCAAGGGCCTAATTATTCCTTTTTTGTATAGGAAGATTTTCAGTCAATGACTTACGGATTTAAAATGGCTAACAGTGTGACAGATCTTCGAGTTACAGGTAAAACTATTTATAAAGATAATTCAGAAGTTTAATGTTTGGATTTGTTTCCTTTTTAAACTGATTGGCTCTCTTTCTAGGCATGCTAAAAGATGTGGAGGATGACATGCAAAGAAGAGTAAAGGTATATGTTTTTTTATCTTTTCTTTGGTATAGGATTTTTATTTTCTTCTAAATGTCAAGTTAACTTTAGCTAATTACAAATAGCTACTGTAGGTAGGACCACCAACTTCTTTTATATATGCTGTGCCTTTTTTGTAATGAATTTTGAAGACTGCTAGAGAAGTTTCTGATGAATTAATGTCACTTTCAAGTATTGAAAATTTAACCCTCTTAATTTTTCAGTTTTTTGTGAATGTTTTAGAATTTTAGCATACTATTTTAAGAATAGCATAATATTCTAGTTTTAAGTTTTTCAAAGGTAAGGACTATCTACTTCACCTTTGTATCTTTAGTAGCTAGTACAGTGTCTGCAACACAGTAGAAGGGCTCAGTAGATGGTGGTATCCCAAATCTGGGGAAAGCCTTCTGTGAATGACATCCTTCAGCTAGATGACCCTGATGATTTGGTTCTTATAGAGATTAAAAAAGGAAAAAAGTTATATTTCTAATATTTTTTTACACTTGTATAATACAGCATGGTTGCCAAAGCAATTTTACATTATTGTCTTATTTGATATTTACAATTATTCAGTGAATTAGGCAGTTAAATGCACACAATGCCCCACTTTTAGATGAGGAAAATACAGCTCAAAGGAATTAAGTAACCTGTTAGTCTGAGTCTTATTTAAGAGTAGCCACTAGTAAGTGGCAGCTCCCAGGCTAGAGCCCAGGTTTTCAACCAGATCTTCCTGTGGTACTGCCCTGGATTTGTCAAAATAGTCGACTATTTATTACTCTTGTGGATGTTTTGCATTTTATTGTAGAACAGATCAGTATTTATCATGTGACTTTGTGATGTGTTTTTGTAAAGGTTGCTATTTTTTTCTAACAAGGTTTGTTTTGAAAGCATCAGGAATTTCAATTAATAGATCCTTTTAAAAGAAAGAAGTACCATGTGCCATATGCTTTTACTTATGTTAATTTATTGTTTTGCTTTGCTGTTTTTAATACCTTATTCTTTTGTGTGATCTTTGTAATTTATATCAAAATGAACTTTCTGTATATGTTATTAATAGCAGGAAAATAAATACTAAATATGACTTTTTTTCTCCCAAATATTTTTCTTAGAAATAGATTCTTACATATACTCAATAAATTTATTTAGTGCTTTACCTTGTATATTTATAATTTAATGCTTCTACAGATTTGTATTTGTTTTAATTCACCTTTTTTAAAATTTTAGAGTACTCGAAGTCGACAAGGAGAAGAAAGAGATCCAGAAGTTGAACTAGAAGTAATTGAACTTATTTTCTGGTAGATAATATCAGAGAAGTCTACCTCTTAATGTTATAGTTTTATGAACTGCGTTATAATTTATGGAAGCCCTTTTTAAGGTATTTCTTTAAAAATTGGACATTGCAAGGGATTTTATTTCCCTTGTATTTATTTTGATAGAATGACAATAGAGCTCTTTCAAATACATGATTTCAAAGCTCTTCAGTATTCCTATGAGGTAGGAAGAAAAAAATGACTTTTTACAGATGATACATCAAAGCTTGGCAAAACTCAAGAACTTGCGCAGTATCCAAAGTTACCAAACCTTTGTGGAGATCCTAAATTTTCTGACTCTGCTTAAAGCACCTTTTTATCAATCCTTTTAAAAATACTAATTAAGTTAGATTTTGAGATAATAGTGTAACTTTTGATTTAGGGAAAAATCAGTCTTGTTGATATAGAAACTTTATATTTCTATTTCAGTAGAATCAGCTTTGTTATATTTTCTGCAGCTCATTTTCAGACATTTGAAAGACTATAAGTGAAGGTGTTTGTAATGTAGTAAGTTGTTAACATTGAGATCTAGGACTTAAAATACTGTATTTTAAAATGAAATTCCTTTGACAGACTTTGCATGTTTTAACTTCTAGTCCTTTCTTATTTTTTAGCACCAACAATGTTTAGCAGTATTCAGCAGAGTGAAATTTACTCGAGTGTTACTGACAGTGCTTATAGCCTTTACTAAGAAAGAGGTAAGGGCCTTTGCTGTAATCTATTCTAATGTTTTTGTTTTGGATGGAATGCTTTATTGAAACAGTTCTGAGACTTCTCCATTGAAATGCCCCTGATTGCACATATACAGCACTCAACATGTGGTGTATTTACATCAGAGTATCCCTGATGATTTTCTCAAAAAGTCACGTGAATTTTACATTGTGCTCCATAACGTATCCATGTCGTTGATATAAAAATAATACTTTATATTACTTATTAGTGGATAAAATAATAGAAGCTGAAGTTGCTTGTGGGTAGTCATATTTTGTGAATTGAAAAGGAGAAAGTAAAAATGAGAATTTTAGGTAGACGGCTTCTTTCATTCAATTAAATAATTAACTGTTGGATTTGTTTAGAACCAAAAGCAAGCACTACAAGGTGAATATTTTTCTTTTGTGTTTATTTGCATTAATTTGAGTAAATTACAGACTAATTTGTGAATAGTTAATAAGTGGTGAGTAGAGATCCAGCCTTTATAATATTGATCTAATTTCTCTAATTCTGTTTTTTTCCTTTTTTTTAAAATTTCATCTTGATGAATGACATAGTGGAAAAGTTGAAATTTCCCATTTTCCAGTTGACTGCATCTCTGTTTTTTTTTAACATAAGATTAACAGCATAAACCAGAAATGTTTTCTATTGTTTTTTAATGACTCCTACAAGATATAGATATGGGTAAAAAAATAATTTCTATCCTAACAGGATCTGGGCATCCTGTATTAAGTGAATAGTTTGTGAAAACCAATGTTGTTACAACAAGCATTTAATTTCATTATTGTTTATAGGATTTTCCTATTTAATGTATATCTTTCAGTGAAAGAATATGTAAGAATGTTTTTGGTGATTTATTTGCTAGACCAGTGCTGTTGCAGAAGCTCAAAAATTGATGGTTCAAGCAGCAGATCTTCTTTCTGCCATTCATAATTCATTGCATCATGGCATCCAGGCCCAGAATGATACTACAAAAGGAGGTAATTGTCTGTTTTGCTCCCGCTCTTTTTCCTTGTTTCCCATTCAGAGTGTATGGTTTCTGGTTTGTTCTAAAATTTCGTTTAAGTTAGTCTATCTGGACCTTGGAATGTTTTGCTCCATAGACTTACATAGAGTGTTTATACTCCCTTCTTTTTAAATTTATTCTAGACCGAAAACAATTCTATAGAACTTGGCCATCTCCTGTATTTTATTGTGTGGGCTCTGCATATTTACCCTGTCTGGTAATCATGCTGTGATGTCAACAGTACGTTTGTTTTTAATCACCTCTCCCCTTTACTCCTTTGAGAGAGCATTACCTCCAGTACGCAGTTTTCCCTGACTCCGCCAGGCAGGCCTAGGTATTCCCTCTGTGGCCTCAGTGCACGTGTATATGCCTCTGTTATAACATTTGTTCAATACATCATATTGTAGTTGTTTACATATTTGTCTTTCCATGAGATTTTGAGTATGTTTAGGCTGGAGACTATCTTCTTTGTATATCTCTTACAGTGCATGTACATTGTTTACACTCAGTAGATTTTATTTATGAAATATGCCTTAAATAAAAAGAACAGGGTACCTTTGTTGTAAAAGTTGTGTCTGAGTTAACATTTTACATAATGTGTAGCAATTTTGATTATCTTTAAAACTTATTAAAATGAGATGATATTTATATTTAAATTAGTTTTTCCCAGTTGTTGGTCCTGTGACCAGGAGGCCAGTTTTTACTGATTCACACTCCTTTCCTTTTTCACCCCTCCCTTCCTTTTAGGGACGACAGTTGTGGTATTCTCCTTCTCATGAATTTTTTTTCTTACTCAAACGTTAGGTAGTGGAACAGTCCAAAGGGTAATTTGAGGGAATATATATATATATATATATATATATATATATGAGATGACTGACTAGGTGGCATTCTGTGACAATGGGACATAAGAAAAAAAAGGTTGTTAATGCATAGGAGGCTATCTGGTACATGTTTATAGAGAGGTATAACATATCTACAACTCTTCAATACTTTGAAATCCAGTGCAAGAATACTTTTATGAAACCACTGTATAATATATTACTGCAAAGTAGTTTGTTTGTTGGGTTATGTATCAGCAAGGTATTGATGCAAAACAAGAGTCTTCCAGATGACTGGATTCTGATGCTCCTTTTTGCCATATCCTGACTATTGTGGGTTGTTATGGTCTATAACACTGAGGATAATAATTGCCGTAGGATCATTAGTTGCCCGTGTGGTTTGTGGCTTCCCTATATTTCAGACCAGTCAGTGCTAAAAAAAAATTGCTTGTGCGTATATTCCCCACTATTTCTCTGGTTTTATAGTCTGCTCATGAGTAAGCTTCAGGAAGATGGTTTGTGTAAAATTGGCTTGAATAAACTTTTTAAAAAATAGAATCTTCCGACTAAGCAAAGGAAGTTTTAAATTTAGGGAGTACTCACTTTGCGCTTAGTTTTCTGTTTAATACCTTTAAGCTGGCTTAATTTAACTTTGTAATTATACGTTAAGCATAAAGCTAAACAGTTCTGTAACAAATGAATGCCTTGTCAATGATGTCTAGTCTAAGAAGAATGATGATAAAGCAGTAATGTAGATTAGTTTTCATCTCAGATTACTTATTTTGCCTTCTTAATATTATTACAACTCCAGCTAGTGACAGAAGCACTGTGTAAAGCTCAAAATTGCTAAGCATTCATTTTAGCTTCTCGTTGAAAAGGCATATAATCAGTAGGACTGGAAACAGTGATGTAAAGGGAGAAATTAGGAAGAATCAAACTTGATCCAAGGATTACTTGCTGGTGGGTTTACTTAATGGATGTAATGTCTTGAAGATGCAAAAGGCAGAGTGGTTTGGGGAGAGGAAGTGGTTAAGGGGGAGCAGCTTAGATATAATTAATGGGATTTTTTGATGTGACGTGGAGCACTCCACTAGGAAAGTAAGTATTTTGCCCTGGAAAATGGATGGAAAAGGGTTTTGGAGTCATTTCATGTAAGTGCTAATTGAAATAGAAGGAATGGATGTGATTACTCAGGTTTGCTGGGTTCAGGACCTTGGGTTAGATCTTTGTTGAAGAAACAAGGGAAGAAGAGGATCCAGTGAAGCAAATGTTGTTCTTTGTCTTTGCTTATGCTGCCTTATTGCTCTTGAATTCTACACTTCTTTTTACATGTCTGGAATTATAACTCTTCCTTCAAAATGATGTTCAGATCATCTCCTCCAATGAAACTTTCCTGGTTCCAGTTGTCAAAATTTCTCTCTCACCTGTGTTCTTTCCTAGTTAGCTGTGGATTGGGTTTGGTTTTACTCTTTAGGATGCAAACATCTTTGACAGTTGCTAATGGAAATGAAAAATTTACCTAAAGTAACTTTGCCTGAAATTGGTAGATACTTTTGAAATGTATTTTCAAATCTGACACTCAATTTCAAGAAGACTTGTCATCATTTTAAAATAAATTAAAAGATGTCTGATTCAAATTGGTAGACTGAACACATGCATTTACCTTCTGAAACCCCAATGAAACAATGAAGAGGTTTTTTTTTTTAATAGGCATAATTGATAAAGAGGAAAAGGACAAGGAAAGGAGACAATAGCAACAAAATTTTAGAAGCAGGAAAACAGAAAGACATTGACCTTCTGTCCCCAGATGATGGAATTCTTAGCCACTGATAGGGAAAGTCAAGAGACAAACCAGTTGTGCTGTGGATCCCCTAAAGGGGCTCCATTTTTAGTATACCACGTACCTCTGAAAATGAGGAAGAGAATTATGCTGATAACATGAAAACTGGTTGAAAATCTGTTTAGAAGCAGAGATTTTTTTTCCCCCTTTTCTCCTGGATTACCTTCCTGAGCCTTAGAAAACTTAAAGTTTATTCTCTGGAATAGGGGAACAGAGAGGTTCTGGACTGAGGGGATACCAGGCACAGTTGAATGGTGTGCATTTTGGGGAAGTTAAGTGAAAATTTAAATATTTATTATTGTGACCTATTCCCCTCCTCCTCCCTTAGCTCCCTCCCATCCCCCTCAGTTTCTAAAACAGTACAGCCTGGTTCTTGTACTCCGCTTAAGAGTTTGGAAGATTCTTCTTGGGGAGATCGGACAAGCTCAAGAGGTGGAGAAAAACAACAGCGAAATTTAAATATACTGATGACAGCAGCTCCCCTGATAAAAAAGCTTGGTTTGGAAAAGCCTAACCTGTATTCACAGAGCTGTTAATGGGGTTTTTTGTCCTCCAGTTTCAAATCTGAATATATAGTCAAGAGTGGAAGTCTCTAGCCTGAAAAAAAAGAAAAAAACAGGCAAGGAAACCAAATATGTTAAAATGAGAAAAATCAATGCATATGTAAAACAGGAATAAGATGTTATACAAAAGAAAAAAAGAGAATATATTCTTTGAGATTCAAAATATAAGAGCAGAAATGATAAAAATAGAAAGTGTAGAACACAAACTTAAGGAGATCTTAGAGAAAGTAGAGTGAAAAATGAAAAGATGGATAATAAAGAGAAAGAAGATAAGAATAATATAGGATCAGACCAGAAGGTCTACTTCTAATAATGATAAATAATAAATAAGATAAATGAAGGATAAACTAATAAAAGTTGTTCCAGAAACAGAGATCAGAAAATAGAAGCAAAAACAAAAAATCATTTAAGAAAATTTCCCCATATCAAATGATACAAATACCCAGATTGAAAGGGCCAATAAAGAGCTGCTGAGCACAACTAGGGTGAAAATAGACTTCTATCAAGGCATATCATCATGAAATTTCAGAATAGTAGGGAAAAATAGAAGATCCTCAGAGATTTGAAAAAGACAAAGACAAGTTACATACACAGAATCAAGACAGAATGTCATCAGGCTTTGCAACACCGGTAGTGGAAGACAGAAATCAGTGGACCAAAGAACAAGAGCCACACTTGAAGGAGCCACACTCTCTGATTTCAAAACTTAGTACAAAGCTACAGTAATCGAGACAGTTTGGTACGAGCATAAAGATAGACATAGATCAGTGGAATAGAGTTAAGAATCCAAAAATGAACCCTCATGTTTATGGTCAACTGGTATGTGACAAGAGTGCTGAGATAATTCAATGGGTAAAGAAAAGTGTTTTCAACAAATGACACTGAGACAACAGGATAACCACATGCAAAAGAATAAAGTTGGACAGCCCTTCCCCTCTACCTCACATCATATACAAAAATCAACTCAAAATGGATCAATGACCTAATGTAAGAACTAAAAATATAAAACTGAAAACATAGACATAAATCTTACAACTCTATAAAAAGAAAAATCAAAAAATGGGGAGGGGATCTGAATAGACATTTTTGTAAATAAGATATACAAATGGCCAGTAAGCACATGAAAAGATGTTTTTCATCATTAACCATCAGGGAAATGCAAATCAAAATGAAAAGATACCGTTTCCCACCTATTAGATGGCTGTAATCAAAAGACAGATAATAACAAGTGTTGGCGAGGATGTGGAGAAACTGGAACTTGCGTACGCTGCTGGTGGGAATGTAAAATGATGCAGCTGCTTTGGAAAATAATCTTGTAGTGTCTCAAAAGGTTAAACAGAGTTTTATAAGGCAGCAGCTCCAATCCTAGGAATATACCCAAAGGAATGGAAACATATGTCCACACAAAAAGTTATATGCTAAGGCTCATCACAGCATTATTCATAATAGCTAAAAAGTGGAAACAACCCAAATGTCCATCAGCAGATGAATGGATAAATAAAATGTATATCTATGCAAAGGAATAGTATTTGACAGTTAAAAGACATGAAGTACTGATGCCTGCTACTTATGGACCAATGGATGGACTTTGAAAACATTATACTAAGTAGAAGAAGCCAATCACAAAAGACCATATATTGTATGATTTTTATGTATATAAAATGTCCAGAATAGGTAAATCCATATAGACAGAAAGTAGATTAGCCGTTGCCTAGTGCTGGAGGAAGGTAGGAAGAAGAAGAGTGACTGT